TTATATAAGACTTAAATACTTGTTTCTAAGGTGTTGTTACTTTGAGAACTTCGTCTCCGTCCACGATATGGAATCATTCACAAACGTTAGAAACGTGTGACAATAATATTTATGCATATTACATTATATACAATATATATACCTACCTATACAACCTTTCATACATATGAGTTATATACCAGAAACATGTTATATCACGGAAAAACAGTGCAAACCAATCGAACCCGATCGAATACTTCTAAACAAACCTGTCTGGCAGAAAGACAGAAAACAACGAATGGGTTGGTAAAAGGAAAAAAAATCAGCCAGTATCGAACGCGCCTATTCCGAATGGATCCGGAACGGAGTCAACAAAGGGACGTTCTGTTTGAAAAAAGCGCGAATACGAACGCGAGGCGGCCATTACCCGCACCCATTTGCGCATCTATGGCGGGCCTCTTCAATCTGTTCAGTCAACAATTGCAGGGTTGTCGATAGTTAATCCCAAAAAGATATTTGTTGCAAGCCGATATGAGTTACTGATTTACTAGTCTAGTATTAAAAACATGAGAAAATCATCCTGACTTATTTTCAGACATGGCAATGTCAGATGGGCAAGAGGTAGTGCACAGTTGTATGCACACACATACATATATAAACCTCCTCATCATCATGTCCCTTCATTGTCCCTTCACTCTGCCTTTACTATTATACACCTGTGAGACGACAATTTTACACCACCGGGGATAGAACAAGCCTGATGGATTTCCTCCCTAATGTGCGTTCACCGTGTCGTGGTGGTGAGGCGGGTGGCCAGCAGCCCACCTCGGTGGGCGGTATGCCATGCGGCTTGCTCCTGATACTTCTCAAAAGCAAAGTGGATTGTAAAAACCCCATGGATGTTGTGGCTTCGGCAGACGTGCCGTCGGAGTGTTGTGGTTGAGTGCGTAAGCGATCCTGCGACGCCCCATCAACAAGGGACGTTTCGTTGGGTTTTAGGTTGGGTTGGTTTTGCCGGTGAGACCCACTTAACCACCTTTACTAACATCTAAAAGCATTTCCCTACATTAAAAAAAGGAAGAACGACGGCTTTACGTGCTCTCCATGTCATGGGGAGTAACGCCACCAATTTTTCAATCTGGTACTTCTACTAAGAATTTGTCGAAATTAGTAACGATAAAAATTTCATTGTAAGGATCATAATATACGAAAAGTAAAAAACGAGCGTATTTGTCGTGCAACTTATGAGAAACACACTTTATCTACTGAAGTCCTATATGGTAATGGTCACTGTATAAAATATCCCAAGTTATAATTAAATAAATAAGTTTTTATAGTTATTATTATTTTTTATTTATAGAAAAATATAATACATTTATAATATATTTATATATTAATTGCATAAACATTTTATGAGAGCGAAAAATATATAACTATCCCCCCAATTAATCTCTAAGGCGATAGCACGACACATAATATTATTATTTTTAACATAATATTAAATAAAACCTAATAATAATCTAATGTTAAAAAACCAGTTATCACCAGCCCTACAGAGAGCATGTGATCGGGAGTTGTTCGAGTTTTTATCGCTGATTCATTAGTATGAGAGTGTCTTTGTTGCAGTCGACTGGCGCCCCAACATAACCAACATACATCTGTGAATAAAGAATCTGAACTAGAAACGGTAGATTATAGGTTGCCTAAACTCATCAAATAATAATTAACAAATTTATTAGACTAAACATGTAGTCAATGATATGTGTATCTTTGAATTTAAGTCATAAGTTCGATTCTTATTGGCAATTCTTGTAATGGTTTTACTGCTATTTCTCCTTTAGCATTATATACCTAACGGTCCTCATAACGTGAAAAAGTTATTTCAAAGTACGTGTCACTATATTCTTTCCGCTAACATCACAAAAAAGAACTTGCTCTACGAATTCTTCTAAAAATCTAAATTTTTCCTAATACTTTAAAAACTATTTTACTAATCCAACTCAAGTTTTTCTTTTATATCATCTACCGTCTGAAAGCTTAACCTACTTACCCAATAGAAACAAATTCAAAAGATTCTACCAAATAAATTTCTTACAATAGCAAAATGTATTACGTAACACGAAAACGCTCTAATTATAGTGTATCGCAGATAACACTTCTACACCCTGTTCTATGCCAACCCATACAGTCATAACACCATACACGTATTCATGAAATTGATTTGAGATGAAAGGATTTTCATTACTATTGTATCTGAATCCGAATTAAAGACAAATTGCACATTCAATATTCACAATCAATAGTGCTATTCGCAATCAGCTATTTTTGTATACCTTTTTTACCTTTTATGCTTTATGAGCGTTTAAATTGATGAATCTATACGAGTTATTTAGACACTTTTTGTAATGGGGGTAACTTTGAATAGGTGTACTTTACTAACTATACCTTTTTAGTTAATACGTCTGTCCATTATAAGACCTAGTGGTAGTGTAAAAGTGAAATTAGATTTTTTTAATATAATTTCTATTGCTTTAATTGAAAACGTATTGAATATATTAACTTTAATGAATGAGTTATTTTATATTTAAAATTGGTTAAAATAATTAGAAAACAAAAAATTACCTTTCGTCAAAAGGTGACACCGAAATCCCATAGAAGTAATTATTCCGTAAGAATGGTCTTTTTTTAAAGAAATTACCTACATGTATTCCTTGAGGTATAAACTATACGTTAAAAATGTTTAACTATTGGCAAAGATATCGATCGAGTGGTATACCTGCCAAAAATACAGCCGGATTGAGTATCTCCTCTTTTTTGAAGTCGGTCAAAAATCACAAATTCGATCGTTTTATCTATACAGATAAATAAAATTGAAGTGTCTGCTTGTAATGTCAAAATAACAGTTTTTACATAATACATTTGAAATTATATACGGTACATATAAAAAGCACAATTTATTAAATTTTTGTCTGTATGTTCCAGCTAATCGCTGAAACTGATTTTGGCAGGACTTTAAATGGCAGATAGCTGATGCTATAACGAGTAACTTAGGCGACTTTTATTTTAGAAAAAGAATTAAGATCCCCCTCAAAAAAATTAAAACGTAGCTATTGTTTTCATAAAGCAAATTATAAAGTACTCATGTTACTTTGAATCTATTGTATTAATTGAAAAGTAATTTATATTTAAAGACATTATTAGTTGAGTCCGAAAAAGATATATCATAAAAGGGTTACATTCAAATAGCACCAAATAATTGAATTAAAACCTTAAATAGGAGGTATTTTATTATATTTTACCAAACATGCATTATTTGAATTTATAGTTCTTAAGTAATTCGTAAAATAAAATAGCGAATTATCCATACATACCAACCATCCATTGGTACATCCTTATATGCCTAACAGTAGCTTATCTGTAGATTTTAGTCTATCTGAGCACTCAATTTCATCAAATTCCATTCAGCCTTTTCATTTTGAAGGAAAAACAAACATACAAACTTTCATAGTAATATGATATAAATAATCCGATAGAAATGCAAACAGTGAGTTACATTTTTGTCACCAGGTGTATTTGTCGATGATTTTTTGTTTTTTAAAACACTTTAGCCCCCTCGATGTCCAGACGGATGTTAGCATGCAAGGTCACGGAGTGAATTTGAATATAACCCTCTTAGCATCACCTTTTGTGCCGAAACTTTGTATTAAAATTGGTTGATCTTGTTACAAATCTCTAGGTTTAGGTCCAGATATAAATAAAACTCAATAAGCTGTAATTTGTTATAAGTGAAATGTATATGAAATTATTCAAAATTAATGTTTTGTAAGTACATTTGTGTTAGTGGAATTTACTATGAATCTTTTAATTTAAAATTTACATACATATATAGAAAACTATTTATCAATTAGAGATTTTCAATTATTTCAACATGCTAACGAATATAGTATACACCCACATTATTCACGTCAATTTTGTATATGGTTACGTTCACGCTGCTAAGCTGTTTTTAATGGAAATTTTAAAATATGGGAAATAAAGAGCGTCGAATCGAAGTCGTGTGTTTTTTTTAACCTTACTACCCATTTTTTCCCTCACGGGTAAAAGTTCAAAAAAAATTTGGTAAACTTAGGTTTCTTAAGTCATTATATATAGTATTTCGATAATGATAAAATTTTAGTCCTGGACCTAGTAGTCGAGCGTTTCGGTTTAAAATTCGACGAAAACCATAACACAAAAATCTCTTATAATAATATTTATTTCCTTAAAACTATTCATAAACAACTAGAAGTAATATTATCATATAAAAAACTTTTGGCCCAGTGAGTGTTTGTATAGTGTAGGTTCGATATCTGCGTAACTTAAAAGTTTTAATGAATTATACAGGTAATATGCATTCTATTATTATTGTTTTAATTGCGGTTCTTTTAAATCATAAAATATTACAAAAAATTAAATGGAGATCTGATATTTTTATACGCCATAATAAATACAGCTCTCAAAGTAATTCTTAATACAATTAAACACGTTACAAGGAGTAAATAAACTGTAGAAACTTTAAATTTAGGAAGCTTTCTTTTGAAATGTCCCGACTGTTTTTGTTTATCCTTTCGCAAATTAGGTTTGTTGCGCCTCGATTGCGCTCCGACAGACTTTGTTGTAGCAAGTTTAAATAAGATTCATTGTGTTGTTTAAAATTAAATTTAAATCCTTGTGCTTTATATTACTTGGAAGGACAAAACTTTAACACGAAAACTACTTGTGACGGAATAAAACCCTATAACATTTTTCGGACCACGAACTAACCATGCACAAAAAATATTTCAATAAGTTACTTCGTTGTTGTGTTAAAGAAAGGTATGACTTTTATTTTTTAATATTATTTGATATCTTTTATAGTTTTAAATCGTATCATTAAAATATCGAGCATTTTGAAAAAAATAATCACATAAAGCACAAGCTTTAAAGCTTAAAGAGCTTTTAGTGCTTTGTTAAGTGAATTGTATATAAGTATAAGGGCGTACCTTATTATGTTCTTGTTGGGCCAAAAGCTGCTCTCTCACCATTTGTAGCTGTAATATCATTTCTGATAACTGCCTTTCCTTCTCCAACACGCTCTCGCCAGCTAAAGCTTGCAGCGCCGCCGCGTCTAACACGCCCCGACGATCACTGTCGAAAAAAATACTATAAATACATACTATTTCTAATTCTTGTGTAAACATTAAAGGTTGGAATGTTAAGAGTTTCGTCAATAATGTAATAATATTTTTTTTATTAACTTAAGTAACCAAGACTAATTGTGTTTGTATAAACAAACATATTAATTTTATTTTATAATATATACCTTTACAATATTAGTAGATATACATCTTGAACGAATTATGGCTAATTCGTTAATGATATACATATATACGTATACCGATAATATCTATATTTTTAATAATCTAAACTCCAACGTATAACTTGTAAAGATAATAAAGTATTTCACAAGCGGCCATTTAAAGTTATCAATCATATGTGAATGTAAACGTAGCATTGTGATTCCATTTCGCGATAAGGGCCCATCAAAAGCAATTAATATCTCGATGCATTTCTTTCGCAGTGATTGTTGCATTGTATGTTGCAACCAAAATGTTAAATAAGATATTTTTTATAACGACCCTTTGGTATATTTTTTTCTGCCTGTCATTTGCTGTTTTTTTTTTATTTTAGACGTATGAAAGTACAAGTACCTAATAATTTTTCCTATTAATTATTATTATTTCAAGCTATACTTCTTTTGGGACGTTTGGAAAAATATATCAAAGTAAAAATTATAATGACAATAAGCGACATGATGAAGTTAGCTGTTAACTGTTTGTTGCCACGGTAACCGTTGTCATTGTCTGACAGATAATATATACTATTATATTCTTTCCATAAATGATATTCTATAAATATATGATTGTAGTAAGCCTTATATAATTATTTTATTAATTTATTATTCCTTTTACAAACAGAAACTTGTGACATACGGGATGAAATTTTTAGCTATTTTTGTTCTGTTACGCCAAAGAATTATAACTTCTTACGTGCGTACTTAGTAAGTACACACACACGTTTTTTTCATTAGGTACAATACTTTTGTGTCAATGTCCGCCCAGATGATGCAATCTATGTCTTTAACAAATTTCATCGAAATCTGTTCAGTAGTTTAAGCGTAGAAAATGTGAAAGTAACTGTCCGTATGTCTGTTATTTAGATATACGGACAACTACTTACACGTTTTTATTACTATGGATTCGTAATCTTTATCACTCGTATTTTATTGTTGATAATTTAAAAATATGTTTTGATTTCGCTTTATTTTTTTTACTCCAATTAAATACAACTTGTTCTAAATGTATACATTTTTAGTATAAATACAATTAGTATTATAATAATGTGTTTCCCAATAAATAAATAAAATTATTTTTGATAAGCATTTATAAATTATATCAATTAGCTAAGTTTAACTCAAATGGACATCAAACATGCGACCTTGAATTTAATAAGTAGCTACGTTGCCATTATATATGTAAGAAAGTTTCGCAGAAAGCTTTATGAGTCAAGCGTGATTAATATTTAAATATTAAATATTTTTTTGTGATTTTCTATAATATATAGGTATAATTAATATTAGATTTAAATAACATAATATCGGTGGAACAATTTGATGGAATATTTATTTACTATGCTCTCCAAGAACAAGACGGTTATTTTTTGGAATTCTTAAAAAATATAGAAGCTGGTAATTGCATAATACAAACAGACAAAGCCAGTCAACTTTCCTAGTAATGGAATATGGCAAGTAATAACAAGGTTGATGTAAGCTCAAATGTCAAAATTATATGATACATTTTAAAGGTGTGAATAATTCATATGAACCCGCTAGCTTCAGTGTTCTCATGCAAGAACCGACAAAGGCTGTTATTATGAACTTAAAAGTGGAGTGAGGCAGCCCTCGCAGACCAGTGTCCAAGTTACATTTACGTAATCTAAATATTATGCAAAAGAAGTAAAATGTATTATAACGTGTCGTTGGAAATTAAATAATAAACGAATTTCAGGAAACTAAATAAACTGTATATATATATATGTAAAAAATCACATCGGATTTACGTTTGTTACTTCATTTAAGGTATAAGCTAACTTATAGTCATGAAAAACATCACAATTGGCAAATACATCATATTCCCTCAACGACCGCGGATACCCCGAGGTGTCAGTTAACACTAGATTACTTAGAATTTTGATTAATTTCTTAGAAATTTACCTGGAGGTGATATAGGTAATAATAATAGTACCTGGGCGACTAAGCTTATCTTTTTTTTCCAAAGTTAATATTTAAAAAATTCATTTGTAAAAAAACAAAGCCTCAACGTGCAAATCGTTAGAGCCGTTTTGGAGATACACGAAATATATATGTATGTATATAGAACAACTGCTCATTTAATATTATAAGATAGGTATGCAATAAAAGTATAAACCCATTTTTAGTACTCCTCTTTGTAAAGCTGGTGAACAAAATTTTATTTATATTATAAAGATTTATGTAATTTCAAGCTACAAATATATCTTAAATAGATTGGTATCATTGGAACTCACACGAAATTCGTTTACAGTTCAGCGAAATACTAGTACACCAAAGCTGAATTATTAATGTTACATCTGCATACTGGATACATACTCAATTCATCTGGTACTATAAAACTGTGCTACAATATATCAATACTAGCATTGCCCGCGGCTGCGCCCGCGTTCTGGTGACCAAAAACCAAATTCTTAGGTTTTACATATTAGTATACTCTTACAATGCAGTTTTTGTATTTTTTCTCAGAAATGATACATTTTCCCGCAGTAAAAAGTATCCTATATGTTGACCCGGGTAACCAGCTTATCATCATACCAAATTTTATTAAAAACCCTTCAGTGGTTTTCCCGTGATGCGGTAACAAACAAGAAGACAGACAGACAAAAATTCTAAAAACGATAGATTCGGCCTCTGTATCGATAATAAGGACTATTTCATTAAGATTTTCTAAAAAATATTTAATGTACAGATTCGACTCAGTTAGAATTTTATTATATGTGTGTACCTATAGATAAAATAAACAATTTTAGTATTTTTTTAGCATAGTATGGTGCATGTTTAAAAAGAGACTACGATTTGTTCTTAAATAGACGATTAATAATCTCAAACTTTTAAACAAAACCAATAAGACATGCAAATAAATATTTTACAAGTAAAATATAAACAAAATAGAAAATGAACAGAAATTGGAAAACTTCTCCGTATTTCATCATACGATTAATTATGCCTTCGCAAAGCCCACGCTAAGAAAACATAATTATAATGATTTATTCGTTCTAGGTCACAATGGATCCACTTTCACTGGTATAACCGGTGTCCAACCATTATCGTAACGAGGGCTAATTAAGTAACTTATTTTTTGTCACAAAATATTAAAGGCGTACCCATCAAAATATCGTTCACTTTGTAATCGATACGTTAAATGGCAGCACACCGCTTTAAACGTCTACAAAACATTCTGAATAAGAAAATATTGTTATTATTCAAAATTAAAGCTATAAAAAGTTAATTTATAAAAAAATTAAAAGTAGGTTTCATGCAAACTTTCATCCCCTCTTTTACCCCCTTATGGGATGAACTTCGAAAAATGCTAAAAGATGTGTTAATTCAAGCAATAATACCAAGTTTCGAGTCTGGTCATAAATAATTTTTGAGTTTTATAACGTGTTTTCCCATGGGAATGAGATAATCATAAAAAGCGTTTTTTATGAAATTATCTTTCATCCGCGTTAAAAAGTAGCCTATGTTACTCTCCAGCCCCCCAACTATATCCACACAAAAAATCACACCAATCTGTCTCTCTGTTTTGACGTGACAGAAAAACAAACAAACAATCAAACAAACACGCTTTTTCACATTTGTATTATGGATAACAACATCTAGTCTTGAATGAAAAGATGGTGACCCATATTTTGAGTCTCAGGTTAACATTTATGATACAACTCATGAAAATGTAACATAAGGGAAAATTGAAACTGAAATTCATCATTGAGACCTCGTAGAATAAATATAAACTAGGTAGAATCGTTGAAGAATAGAAAATAAGAAAATATAGGTATATGCCATGTACCTACCTACTATATGGGAATGACATATTGTAATTCTATGACATAACGATTGCATTTATCATTTCAACACAATTTTTTAATCTAAGCCTCTAGTCGCATTGAACCAGAAGATCATCATCAGTACCAGAAGATCGACTATTAAGTTATATAACAGTGTATACTTTTTGATAGACTTTCTTGCGTAACGTAAAAAAACTCGCAAAAGCGTCTTAAAAATTACATGCTATTGGCATAACTCATTGTATCGGAAATGATATGCCCCGGAGCATTCAATGATTTATTGTGTAATAAACACCTCAAAACGAAGGTATAATGTAACAGATATTCATTAACACGATGTTTATTAACACTTGTATGTTTTTTTTAGTTTACAAGTAATAAAATGAATTATAAGCTTAAATAAACCCAAATTAAAATGTACATATGATATATATGTATTCAAAAAAAATTCTGTATTTAACAAAAACACCATATTAAAATACAGTGTTCGTATCGGAAAGTCTTCTGCTCACCCTATACAGAGAGACGTATGAAGCTAAGATTGATGCCTAGAGTAATTATTGTATATCCTTTCATATTTTTTATAAATAGTATGTAACGGAAACTACCATATTTTGGCTACTGACTATAAAGTAGACTATATTATAAATGGTCATAAGCATATCCAGTCCATAAACTATCTCTATCATTACAATTCGTTGATTTGTTACGCTATTATGTATATTGTTGTTTCCATATTACGTGTAATAATATTAACAATATTAGAAAGCATAATTTGACCATATTAGATAATAATTTTTTTTAATGACAAGTAGAAATAATCGTTATCATATGTATTTAAAGTGAAAAAATACAAAAACGTGCGTGTGTACGTATGTACGCGCGTAAGAAGTTTTACTTCTTTGGTGTAACAGAACAAAAATAGCAAAAGATTTCATCCCGTATGTCACAACACTCTGTTTGTAAAAGGAAAAGTATAAGACGTGTAA